TATACACACACACACACACGACTCTACATGCATTATAATATAAAAGAGAATAGGATTTTTTTTTTAAAAAGAATAGCAATTCCTAGAAATGAAAAAAAAAATCTTTAAAACATATATAAAACGAATATTTGAAATAATTAAAAAAAAACTTAGTTTTAAAAAACTTATAAAAACCAATTAAAAAAGTTTGTAAAGTATGTTGGATCAAATTCTTAAGAAAAAATAAGACTAACGGTAAAAGGAAAAAACATAATACAAATTTGTAAAAAATAAATAAATAAATTCGTAATTTGTTGGTAGTATTTATATAAATATAAAATATCTCCATTTACGATTGACCATAAGTTTTTTATAGGGAAAATACCGGCAATAGTCAAAAAATGGGGGTATTTTCAAAATTTAGACATGAAAATGGACATTTCCGGGTATAGACATGCATTCCGCGGAGGTAGCTCCGCGGAATCTACTGTAGCTCCGCGGAATGGCAAAATCGTAAATAAATTAGTGTATTAAAAAAAAAAAAAACTCAAGATCCATTCCGCGGAGCTACAATGGATTCCGCAGAGCTCTGCGGAGGTAGCTCCGAAGAATGGATCTTCAGTTTTTTTTTTTTTCAAATCGATTCTTCGGGGTTTATATTCATTCCCCCAACTAATTATTTTTCAAGAAAAAATTATGATAGTATGAATTTTTCTTTACAATGTTTGGAATGAATGTGAGATGAAAAAAAATTGATCTTTTAATTAGAGATCATTACATAGAAGAATTAGTTGAGTAGATTTTTTTTTCTGAAGATCCATTCCTCGGAGCTCCGCGGAATCCATGTCTATACCCAGAAATTCAATTTTTTGTGTCAATATTTTGAAATTCTAACCCCAAATAATGTATTTTCTCTTTTTTTTAAGGAGTGGCGTAAGCACTATGTGGAGCCTTCTCCTCTCGCGAGGACGTCGACATGGAGGTTTTTGAGAATCTCTCCAGTCAAAGGGATATTCGTTATTTCGTCTCCCGTCTAATTTTACACCCTTTATCATCTCAGATTGCATTTCATTAAATTCAGTTCCTCATCATATTTGAAAAAAACAAAAAAGCACACCTTATTTTTACATAACTATACTAGGGATTTTGGTTATTTTGTGATAAGTTTTGAGTTTATTATAGATTTGGTTAATATCACACTTTCTAGGTACATTTAAGTGTTAGAGTTGTTTGATAGTTGTCGATTAAGTCAAACCTAATTAAGTAAATATCCGATTGATTCAAATTCAACTTCTTACCAAACCCAACAATAGTTATTATTATTATTTTTTGAACAACAGAGATAAAATAACATAAAAGAGCTAGCAAGGCACTGAAAACCGTTATATGACCAAATTAGAAGCTTGTAATTGTGATATTAAATAATTTGAATTTGACCGAGTCAAACCCAACTTCTTATCAGATCCAATAAAAGACATATCAAATAGTTACTTATTGTTATTATAATTTATATAAGTTTGGGTTCAACAAGTTAATTTGTTGTTGAAATATTATATATATATATATATATATATATATATATATATTTAACCAAATCATATTCAATTGCTTCATTGTTTGACGATTGAAGATGATAACATTTTAAAATTTGAACCACACCGTCTTATAAAACATTTGACACAGTATATACCTTAAAATACTTCAAAAATACATGGAATATAAAACTTGACTGAAATATGTAAGATATAATATGTATTTAACTCTATACAACAATACATGAGAAATTAGAGGGTACAAAAGCATACAAATATAAACTATATGGACCAAAACCAAATAGCTAACAATCACAAATCACGTGCTATTTTGAGCCCTATAAATACATCAACTTCGTTTCCAAAATCCTCTGGCGAGCGATTTTTTCATTCGTAATTCTAAATCTCAAAATCGCCAAAAAAAAAAAAAAGGAGAACGCACCTTAGCTATGTGTCCCACCGGAACTTCCCTACCACCGTCGAGAAAACCCGCCGATTTACGATCGGCATTTGATGTCCTCGACGTTGACCGTGATGGAAAGATCAGCCACGATGATCTAAAGCGTTTTTACGCGGACGCAGGCGACGAGATCATCGGAACGATGATGAAGGTAGCCGATTTGAACAAGGACGGCTACGTCGAATACGAAGAGTTCGAGAACGTTCTGAGGACGAATAAGAATGGAATTAGCAGCTGCGTAATGGAGGATGTGTTTAATGATATGGACAGAGACGGCGACGGAAAAGTAGGTCACGGAGACCTCCGGAGTTATCTTCGGTCGGCGGGAATTGAAGTCAACGACGATGATATCAAGGCGATGGTTAGTTTAGGCTCCGGAGATGATGATAACGACGGTGTAACGTTCGAAGGATTTCTTAAGATATTGGCGATTTGATGGTTTGAAATGCTTAGGGTTTCGCAGGGTTAAGGTGCCATTTCTTCTTCTGGACGTTTTTGTTTTGTTTCTATCAACAGTAAATTGAAATTGTGGATTACAAGTTCAGGATTTTTGTGTTCATGAAATCAAATCAAAGCTTGTGAAGATGAATTGCAGATTTTGATTGTGATTTAGAATTTAGGTTCCATTCATGAAGTCATATTTGTTGTAATTGGGAAATTAAATTTCAAATATAAACGATTCGCTTTCGTTTCTTCTTGATATTATTATTATTATTGCATGATAATTGAACAATGATTTTAAAAATTCCTATTGAAAGACAATACAATTGCTCGAACCTTGCAAAACGTGTTGTTAAATTTTGAGTAAGTGCACCACGGCTGGTTATAACTTCATATCATATCAATAGCATATGCAACTTAAATTATAAACTAATTGTTTATATTTGTTAATTTAATTTAATGAAATTTTTTTAAACCTATTATAATTGATAAAATAACGAAGACGAATGGTAAGAAATAAAAACATGTTTTACTCTTTTTTACATATAAACACGTTTAACCTCTTAACCAATTATTAGAAATCTTTCTATATATAAACACATTTTCTTTTCATTCTCCTTTTCATTCTCCCATATATGTGATGACATGAAATTCATTTAAAGTCCGTTTTGGATGTTTAGCATACCAAAATGAAGGTATGACACAGGGAACCCCAATATATAATCATTTACCCATTTTGAGAATGTATATAATTCAAAATTTGTGTTCAAAAATAAAAAAAACATATTTTTAACCCAATTTTGCAAAGGCTTGGATTTCGGCTACCCAAGATCCCATCAAAGGAATTGCTCAAATGGGATATACTTTTTGGGATACCATTCGAAACATCTTCCATGACCAAATGCTTATCATACGTGCAACTAAATTACATTGAAATGACATGATATAAGGTTGAAAATAATCGAATTTAACGGATTTACAACAACATGCACAAAAGTAGGTCAAACGATTTTGACACCTTCACAGCGACCCTCAAACAATACCAAGAATTGAAACCTTCCTCTAATGTTTTTCCTATGTCAATGTTTGGTTAGAGTTGAAGAAGTGTTGAAAATGGTTGCTTGTTGAGGAAGTGATCTCTTGTGGTTCGAAGCATCCGAGATATGTCCAAGCATGTAATCATTCACTACAATCGGATGGGCAGACATATATCAATATCAACACTGAGTCGTATGACCTTGAAGATGAACAACCTCCACGTCGACTGATTGGAAAAAATAAAACGAAGAAAACGGATTTCGATTCGGGTTCAAATAATTCGAAGTCAAGTGGTATCGATCGTTTTAGAGATAAATTTGATCGATACGTCATCGTGGATCGGGTGAAAAAAGATATGCAAGAAACGCAACTTGGAAGACAAAAAAAGAACGATTTTGAAATTTTGAGGATGAAAACGAAATTACGAGGGGGAGGATTTAGGGACACTTCTCGCGATGAAATGAAGCATTTGCGAAAAATACAGGAATATGTAATTTTATTTTCCAGTGTGGTATTTTTTTCTATGTTTTTTATTTATTTTAATCAATGTAATGTTTTAAATTTAATTAAAATCTAGTATTTTAATTTCTAAATTAATTTATTTATTTATTGGAAAAGTGATATGAAATGGTAAATATACCAAGTAAATATGGTCTCGAGTTCTAACCCTGACGTGAACAATTTCGTGATACTAATTTCTAACCACTAACTCCAGATGGAATACCCTATAACTTTATGTAGTTATGTGCATGCAAAAGGTCAACGAATTTTGGTTCTTGCATGTCTAGTATGAGCGTACCGTGTGGTTAGTCAATGTGATTGAGTGGGTAAGGTTGGTTTAATCGACAGTGGAAAGTGTGAGGTAATTGGAGAGGGACTTGCATGGCTTTCCACGATGGATGTAATTGGGTAGGGCTATAAACGAACTGAACGTTCAGCGAACTGTTCGTGAACTGTTCGGGGGAAAGTTCGTTTATGTTCGTTTATTTAATAAACGAACGAACATGAACACAAATTATCGTTTGTTTAGTTAAATGAACGAACATGAACAATGTTCCCGTTCGTTCAGTTATGTCCGTAAACGTTCGTTTATGTTCGTTCATATAAGTTCATTTTATGTTCACATATGCTTAATTGTCTTTGATTACATTAGTGTATTATATATTAATTTATGTTCATATATTTTCAATTATGTTTTTTTATATCTTTGTTTATTTATGTTTGTTTGTTTATGTTCGTTTAACATGTTTACGAACATAAACTAACGAACATGAACAATGTAATTTGTTAAACAAACGAATATGAACAAAAAAAATCGTTCGTTTATCAGTTCGTGTTCGTTTATTTGTTCGGCTAACTTAAACGAACGAACATGAACAAGCCCCGTTCGTGTTCGTTCGGTTCGTTTACAACCCTATAATTGGGTGACTTGGTATTGTGTTTTGAATTATAAACAACTGTTATTTAATAAAGGGTTTTTGGTGGTGAAATGGGCCGATGTTGTGCAAGTAATGGAGGGTAGGTGCTTTTGGATTTAATGCCATAAAAATATACGATATTTGGTTCAACAACCGGTAAGGAGGTAAAAGTGATGGGTTTGTGACCGTGTGTTTAAAAAAATAAGACAAGTGATAGACGAAGAGAGACAATATTAGACAATGAACGATATGTCAGTGTGATGGAGGCTTTTATGATCGTAGCACAAATGTGCATATAATAAACTTAATGCTATGATACCATATTAGAATCAATAGAAAAAAGTATTCTTTATTAATGTGAGTTTTTATTACAATATAAAACCAAGTCCTATTCTAATAAGCCTAACGTTGTAACCTTAAGATAAAGATATAAACAACAAGAAAATGAAAATATAATCATAATTTTACATGAATTCAGGTTGTATATGTACGGTTATCACGGGGATGTAGATAATAGACAGTAGCCGAAGATGATAACAAACGATAGAGAAACATGGATGGTAGACAGAGGACAGATGATGCATGTGCATCGATAGCCATATAGGGGTGAGCAAAAACCGAACCGCAAACCGAAAAAACTGAAAAATCCGCATAAACCGAAACCGAAATGAAAACCGACGGTGCGATTTTTAGCTTGGCAAAAACCGAAGATTTTCGGTGCGGTGCGGTTTCTAGTCTTGCAAAAACCGAAAAAACCGAACCGCACCACACACACAGATATATATATATATATATATATATATATATATATATATATATATATATATATATATAT